AGTATCTGAGCACTCCTTTATCCCAGCTTCTTAACTCAAATGTCTGAATAAATAATCTCCTGAATATAAATAAATACAGTCTCCTGAATATAAAACCAATTATCCTTTGTAGGTCTTAACATAGATCTAGGTGTCCTAATTATCTATTTATGAAGCAAGGACATCTTTAAGTGTGTCACCAATTAAAATCCTCCATGTAATGGAGGAGCCACTCACAATGGCTACCTTTCAAAGTGCTTTTGCTCATGAAGTAAGACTCATTTATCTGGAAAAAAATGAATATCAGAAGTAAGAAAAAGCCAGGAACTACGGTTTCCCTTGAGTTTACTTCCCTAAAAAGTTTCATTTTAGACAATTTATATCCTTAAACATTAACCTTTTCATGAAGACTGAGTATACAAGTAAAAGCAAGCACTTTTTTTTCAAGTAGAAAAACACTGAGGCACAAGTGTGACTTTAAATAATTTACACAATAATTTATTTGCTCAAACATGAGAGCTCAAAAAATGTTTACCTAGAAAAATAAACCCTATGAAACAACCTAGGAAGCATTATCCCCAAAATAACTACTCAGGAAAATCCCTGAAACAGTCTTGTTATTCAAAATTTTCATTCCACTGTTTTAGGCATGGTATCACCACATGAAGCACTTCAGAAGTTATACTTACCCACACAATTCAAAAGGAAAGGGAAGAAAGGAAGGATGAGAAGAGGACAGGAGAGGAGGGAAGACTTAACCAGCAGCAAATCCCACTAATAACCTCACTTGCTTAGTACTACTAGTCAATGCCCATCTCTGGTCCCGGATTTTCATAACAAAAGGGAATACTTTGGCAGCTTTTAGTGCTTTCTACTCTATCTTTTTAAAAGTGATAGTGAACTTGATGAACTTTTCTAAATGGCAATTATACTCTCCATACTGAAGGACTGTTGGGTGTGTGTGTGTGTGTGTGTGTGTGTGTGTGTGTTTTGTTTTTATTGTTTCTCTTTTACAACTTGTCAATTATGGGGGGAAAATGCACTTATTCATCCAAGAATCTATTACTTGCCTGTTTAGTGCAATAAAGTGACAGGCTTTTACCTCTTTAAGCAAGGGGTATTTTTAGAACACCTACATATGAATGTAAATTTGTACAAGTTTGTTTTGTTTCTGAGAAAGGTTCTCATTCTGTAGCTCAAAATTTCCTCAAATGTATAATCCCCTGCTTGTTGAGATTACAGGCATGGCACAGACAGTTAAATCTGAGGATTCTTTAGAACAACTTTCTGCTACTAAATTGCAGTCAAGTTCACAGCCATGTAGCTCAGGACACTTGTATTATGGAGCTACACTCACAGCTTACGTGGCAATGAGCAGATTATTTTTAAAAATCTGTATTTGGAAGCTAGAGATGGCTCAGAGGCTAAGAGTGCTGCTGGATGCTCTTCCAGTAGCCCCGTATTCACTTTCCAGAATCCACAAGGCAGCTCATAACTATCTGTAATGCTAGTTGCAGGGGTTCCAACGCCCCTTTCCGTGCTCCACAAGCACCAAGCACCTACATAGTACACATGTACATGCAGACTAAACATCCAAATACATAAAATAAGAAATAATATTATTTTAAAAATCTGTCCATACAGCTGCCAAATTGTGTCACAATGCTTTGCACTTAATAAAATAATGGTTTTAGTATAATTTTACTCCAGTATTATTTCCAAAGCCAGAATATAAAGCAAGAAATTTCTTCTTGTTGTGTGTCTCACATGTTTATACTGAACAAATTCTACTTACATGATACATATGGTATGTGATACAATTAAAAGGAACTGTGTTTTTTAAAGCCTATAGTCTGAAAAGGACTCTGAAACAGTTACATCTAAATCAGACAGGGAACATCTAAAATATGTGTACTCATTCAGTTACTTATTCATTCACTTGAATGTAGATGAGGAGAATACAGTGAATAAATAAAATGTTTTAAAGAGACTTAATCGGGGTCTCATTAAAGACAGCACAATCTGCTGTGGAACTTTGAAGAAAAGGAAAAGCAAACTTGCCCTGGGACCAGACAAATGCTGATACCACATCAGTTGCCCAGAGGGCAGGCATTAAGTGTTGGATCTCTTGAGCTACTGGGTAATTTACCATGCCAGACATTATTTTATCTTCCTCTTGAAGTTCTGAAGTTACACCATTAATTTAATTTACCCCACTGTGTCACCTGGGAGTCTTAGACTGACAATCAACCAGTACTTTCTAGGTCTAACTCTTTGTTTAGCTATTTCTAAAACTGCATTAAATTTCATCATATATTATAAAAAAGAACTGGCTTGCAAACAGAGCCTATACTCTAAAAAGTAAGTCACTCCTGGGTGTGCTGATTTTAGGTTTCAAGCATGCTGCCACTCACATGCACAAAATGGCGTGGAGAGTGCAGATTATTACGGACATGGCAAATGATGAGCCTTGCCATCTGAACAATGAGAACACAAAACAAGATTTGAAGAACCACTGACTGGAAAGCAAAAGAGAAGACTGACTTAGAAGATACATTTTCCACTACAAAAGTATATGGAGGTCCAAACACATTTTGATTAGGAAATAGAAGTATAGTGACTGACTTAACTCTTCTCACCTATATAAACTCAGATGTCTTTGTCTCCTAACTCTATGTTTTTGAGAGCATATGTACTTCCCAGCTGTGTGTGTGCAAAGGGTCTTCCCAGTTGTGTATATACAAAGGGTCTTCCCAGTGAAGCTCTGCCCTCCATAAAAACCATAGAGGTAAGCATTACATGTTAACCTAGGAAAGAACACTTGGAAATATTCCAGTACTGTGAAACCTGTTCTTGACACCTCAAAGATCAAAGTGTCCTACCCTCTCTCAAAGAAGGGCAGTGGGAAGGGGCCCAGTCTCTATTGGCTCCACCCATGATGTCAAATGTAACTGTACATTAATAAACCCACTAAGGTTTAAAATCAAAAGAAAAGTGGGAAACACAGAGATACTGATCTTTTTAATGAGATTCAAAAACCTGTGCCAAAATATTAAGCAAAGTGCTACTAAGTCCCTTTGACTTAGCTGAAAGTTTTGGGGCTACACAGTGTCAGAGCATGCTCTGCTCCATCATGGACACCTTCAAGTTCTCTTTAATTAGGGGGAAGATATCGTTAGGTGGTAACTAGGCCATAATTAAGAATTATATGGAAGAAAGATACTAGTTATTAGACTTGAATACTTCCCAGATCAAAATCTCCCCACTGTGGGGGTGCTCCTAGTAAATTCACCATGTCCTCTGTTGGGGACATCATGTCCTAAGAGCCAGAGAAGGCAGGTGCTCCCAAGGACAATGACCTCAACAGCTTCTGACCTCCTTCAGAATGAGCAAATGTTAAACTCTAATTTAACCAAGATGCCCGAAAGAGCATGTATCAGAGCAAGCAAACAGGACTGCCAAGGACATTATCCAGAATGAAAACCAATCGGAGTGTATTAAAACTCAGTGTTTGGGAATGGAAAACAGTATTAGATGGAGGGGGTGGAACTTCTGGAGAAATAAGAAACTAGGCCTGTCTCAGTAAGAAATCTGAAGACTTCAGGGTTTCAAAGCATACACAAACATTAAGAGCTTTCCAGGTCACCAGTAGAAGATGGAGGGCTCGGGTAGGCACAGCACCAGGGAGCTGAGGCTTTGTGTCAGGCTTTGTTTGAACTGCAAGTCTCATGCTCTCAACGCCCACAAACAATGAGATTGATACCAAGGGAACACTTGTTCCTCAGACATAAACCACATGTACACACATGTACACACACCCACACACATGTACACAAAACTCATATCCATAGCAACCTGCGGCCTCTAAGAGACCAGCTCTATGAAAGGTCTCATGGTAAGGAACCAATTTGTCTTCCCCAGAATTCAGGGCCTTAGTCTCGGTGAACTACAAACTGCAATAACCAAAGTCAAGGTAGGAACCTAAACGGTGGAGAAATACTAACACTAAAAGCTTAGTCTGAAGACACCATTCCCCCTTAGAAGCCAAGGAGTAGATCCTAACCTACTATGACGTAAAACCATTAACTACCAGCCACTGGGAGCCCTTTAACTCTGGGGCAGATGAAACCAAGCAGTCACTAACAGTCTTGGGATTTCTAGGTGAGCCTAAGCAAGACCAACTGAGTCACACTGAGTTAGCAATGAGACCTCAAGTCCCAAGCAAACAAAACTCTGTATTTTTCATTTCCATACTCCCAGTGTTAGTCACAGATTCCGGGTGAAACAAATGGGATTCACAACAAAGGCCCCCCGCAGAACTTCTGGCTTTCTGACAGCACTCCAACATTCCGGGTTTTGAAATGCTCAAGTCTGTAACTTCAGTGCTGCCTAAGGCTGGAGAGCCAAGGAGTCAGGTTAGGATGAGCCAGTCACCGGAAAAAAAAAAAAAAAAGAAAAGAAAAAAAAGCTAGGCCCGGGGGCATGTAATGAAGACTATTTGCGGTGTTAGGCCAGGCCAGGACGAGTCAATCTTATCTTCTGGACTTCGCTGTAGGGAGCCTTGAAAAACGAGGGTCACAAGATTCCCACCCCTTCCATTTTTGCCTCTACTAAAAGGGGGAGGGGGATGCTTACAGGGACTTGGGTCCATCCATTTAAGGCAATTGCAAGTCTACAACGTTAACCCTTTTGGAAGATGAGAAAGAGCCAGCCAGGAGAAGGAGGGAGAGGGGAGGAGGGAAAGAAGGAAGGAGGGAGGAAAGAGAGGAGAGAAAGGAGGAGAAGAAAAGAGCAGAAAGCGCCAGAGAGGGTCATGTTTCAAAACAAAGGCTCCACTCTGAACGCCCCCGGGCCCTGGCCAGCCGGGCTGGGCTGTGGTTTCTAGTCCACGGGACGGAACCAGGCCGCAGCCCGGGCCGAGCAACTTCCCGCAGCCGCTGGCGGGCCAGACCGGGTTGACCGCGCGCGTGGCCGGCCCCGCGCACCGCGCAGCCCCGCGAGCCCAGCCCGGCCCGGCCTACCTTCCTTCACGCCCGGCAGCTTGGACTGATCCACACTCACGTCGGCCATGGCGGCCGCTCGGCCTCGCGCGGGTGCACGGAGACCTCGGCGCACGCCCACCCCGCGGGCCGGCCGCAGCCACCCGCGCCCCGGCCGGGTCGACGGCGAATTCCCCCCCGGGCCGGAAATGCACCGGAGTCCAGTACGGAGGGAGAGAGGAGACAGAAAGGCAACGGCGGCGGAGGTGGCGGTGGCGGTGGCGGCGGCGGCGGCGGCGGCGGCGGGGGTGGGCGGGAGCTGCAGGGCTGCACCGCACTCAGAGCCGTGCGAGCCAGACCGCCTCCTCCTCGCTTTTGTGCCTGCCGCGCCCAGCCCCGGCCGGCCACAGATTTGTGTCCTGGAGGCCCGGCTGGTCCGAAAGCTGCACCTGCCAGGTGGACCTGACAGGTCCTGTCTGGGCGCCTCTCTGAGATTGAGACCTCTGGAAAATGCTGAGTGCCAAGCAGGCTTTCTTGTATCTAGGGTTTGAGCATGTATCCTGAAAAGGGGGAACAACACATTGAATTAAAGCACACAGAATTAATAAAATCTGGGCCCTCCTGGAAAAAGAGTGTTCACAACTAACCGGGAGAAGTGAGTCATAGTCATTCAGCAATAACCAACACACATGTCTACCAAATCTGATGTTCGGTATTGGGGTGGAGAGATTGTGGGAAACACTTGTATCTGGCTTCCCACTATTCCAACATGCCACACAAATTCTGACACTTGTGTTTCCCTCAAATAGGTAGACACTCTTTCCCATATGTACAGCATTCTCTTTTCTTTGGGAACCGTCTCTTCCTTCTAAGTGGAACATTCCTTTCCTAAACTTGTGTCATCACTGCTCTTATCTTTCAGTCCATTAGTCCACAAACCATGCATATTCATTAAAGAATGGGTGGGAGATCAAATCAGGTGGAGCAGAATGCTTCCCTAGGGTTGCTACATAAAGGGCAGGGTGGCAAATTAGTATTCTGTTTCCTGAGTGGGCGGTCACTCTCACTAGCAGAGAATGAAACTAAACTGAAGATAAGCAAAGATTAAAAAAAAAGAAGGAGGAAGAAAAGGCACTTTGTGGTGGAAACACTGTAGCAAAAACAGTTCCTCCTAGGAGCTTCGAGGTTTTCCCCCCAGGATTTCTGGACTCTGTAATCTTGCCCCAGCATCTTCTCAAAGTTCACTGGGTCACTGGCATGAGCTGGAGTTCTATTGCAGCTCAGAATTCTAGTGTGAGAGGTCAGGGGGAAGTGGTATGGTTTTAACTTGACATTAAAATTGGTTAGCAAAAAATAAGGTGAAAATTAGAGCAAAAATTAGATCAGAGGTTGACAAACTGCTGCCCACAGACCAAACCCATCCGGCTGAATGACTGTTTTATATTTGTTTACAATTTAAATGACTAAAAAATATCGAATCTTTCTCGAATTTTGCCTTTTAAGCCCAAAGTCTAAAGTACAATCAAAGCCTTTACAAGAAAAATGTGCATATCCCTGTAATGGAACACTTCTTAAACTAAGTGTGAAGAAGGAAATTCTAGCAAAGTAGGCTTGAGGGATATTTTTAATTGTCCTGCCACATATGGATCTGTTTTGAATTTTCTTTAGTTATAGAGAACATTTATAATAACAGTATTTCTTCTTTTCTTTCCTTCTACCTAAATTATTTCCACTTTTTTACCAAGCTCTACCTTGGGAGATGGACATCCATAGATGTATCCCCTGGGGGGGTGTCCTTGTTTGTGCTTTCTGTTGAGTTTGGCCAAAAGTAATAAAAAACCAGAAGGAAGAGAGAAACAGAAATGACAGAGTCTGTATTGCATCCTTCTTCTCATATGCTAAACAGAACCATGATGGGCTAGATGACAACTTGCAAAGACCCATCCTTTCCTCCACTGGTTTCCAGGGACCAGAGACAAGCATCTATACTCTGAGCCATCTCACATGCCCACACACATTCATTAAAAATTTTGCCAGTTAGGAGCAGAAAGTTGCTTTAGTTTTTAAGAGTAATGGTTGCTCTTGCAGAAGATCTGGATTAGGTTGCCAGCAGCTGCATGGGGGCTCTCAATTGTCTATAACTCAGTTTCAGGGGATCAAATGCCTCTTCTAGCTTCAACAAGCTCTAAGCATGCATGCACTGCCATACATGCACACATGCAGGTAAACACTAACACACAAAACAAAAATAAATCTTGAAAAGCACACCAGATAAGGCCCCATTTTTTCCTTGCTTTTGAAAATCATTAAGGTGTTTAATGATATCTTTGGAGAGTTTGTTGTACTTGTTCAAACTTTTTGACTTTAAAAATGAAGGTTTTACCCAGGTGGTGGTGGCGAACACAGATCTCTGTGAGCTCAAGGCCAGCCTGGTCTACAGAGCTAGTTCTAGAGCAGCTAGAGCTGTTACACAGAGAAACTATCTTGAAAAAATAAAATAAATAAATGCAAAGATTTTTCATTTGTTCTAATAGAGACAGGCTGTGGCTTAAGCAGTTAGAAGTTATAGCTTGATAGGCCTGAAGTATGATGGCTATAAGTAAATCTAATTGGTTCCATATTACTGAAACTTCATTTCCATTGTGATTATTTGCCTTCTTGAGTTCTAGGGAGTTCTGGCATTCATAAAGCCTCCTCACTCCTGTACCTATGGCTAAGATGAGGCCAAGAGAAACTAACAATGCAACAGCATCTGGCCTTCTAGTTTTGGCTGGAGATGAATGTAATTGTAAGACTATGTACTCTTATTAAGTGTAATTTTGGGGAGTATAGATGACAAGATTCATCTTTCAGTTCCATTGGCCATGCAGCAGATAGGCCTGGATGCCAGCATTGAGGCAGGGGGTAAGAAAAAAAACTAAGCTGTTTATGTGTTTAATGATGCATTAGAAAAGTGAATGTCATGGCTGCCCCAATATGAGGTTAAGGTGAGCCATAAAAGGGAAGAATAAGCAAGGATTTGAACCCAGTTAAGCAGTTTTGAGTAGACCAAAGCCTAGATTAATATAGAAAACATTTATAGCCATTCAATATGGAATCTGTTTAGTTTTGGATGAAATAAGCCCAACTAGTTATTAAAGAAGACAGAGAACAAAAATATAGAGCAAATTAAGGACTCTCATTGGGAGGGTAAAAGAGGGAACCCCATGGGTATGTCTTTCTAAATAATGATCAGAAAAGCTAGCAGCAAATATAAAGGGTTTTACCAACTAGGGAAAAGGACGGATAGCACAAGTGAGCCCATTGTGTAATGGGGAAATAGAAAAGGGGATTATTTCTTTGGTTTTGGACTTTTGTTTCATATTGTATTGATTTGGTTTGTCTTTGGAAGACCCCACTGAGGAGCAGGAAAGACTCAAGATAGGAGTTAGGTTTAGATTTATACAGTTAGTGTGTACCAGTTGCCTGGTGAGATAGGGGAGGATGAAGGATGGGAGGGTCCTCTGTGGTCTGGATTCATAAAAGGATTTAGGGGATGACCTTATGGGTTGAACCTAAGGATGAGCATGACAGGTTTAATCAGAGCCCGACAGCATCTTTTTTATAGCCTAAAGCTGGCATAGGTCTCTAGTGGTGACATTTCCATCCAATGCCCTGCAGTGCTTGGGTGGAATGGCTTCCCACTGTTGCTAGCTGCCTGGGTCCTGCCAACATCTCCTGTGAACAGTCTGTTAGTCATGCTCTTTTCAGTTAAATCATGTTGATTGTAACACGTTTCCTGACTAGAAGCTGACTAATTCGGTGAGGTATTCAAAAGACCATGACTTCACTTTCCTTTAAAACACCCGCATTTCTGGCCAAAAAAAAAAAAAAAGGAATACACAAAAAAAAAGTTAAAGTCTTTCCTATTCCGCAAAGAATCATCTACCTTTTAAGAGAGAAAGTAATGAAAAGGAACAACATTCCGCATCCAGTTTCTAGATTGAAAATTTGAAAACCCCCTGCATGGCTGGACTTGCCTTCAATGACTCATACCCACACTGTATCTGCCTCAAATTTGAACAATTCAAGCTCAGGGTTACAAGACCTTTAGCAGAGGACTAAAAGTAACATGAGGGAATAGCTCGTTTTTAAAAGAATTTAATAAAGAATGGATGTGTGATTAATTCCCATAACCATGTGTTTTGGTATCCTAAAATGTCAGTTTTGTAATTTAAATACTAGTCCTATAAGGAGTATAAATCACTGAGTTTGAGCAGATCCTAAAACATTTCTTCCAGGGCCAAGCAATGATGTGTATGCCATGCTAACACATAAAACTTTTACTTGTGAAGCAATGTTGGTACCATTAATTACTATTTTAAAAAAAGATGTGATACGTTTTCCACTTGAGGAAGGATAGGTTTTCAACTTGAAGAAGGTCAGCGGGGTTGGTGGCATATGCAATATCAGAGACAAGAACAGCCTGAGCTATCAGTACACATCTCATCAATAAAAAAGAGTAATTTTATATCAATAAAAAAATTACCTGTTGGAATATGTAGAGAAAATCATGAGAAGTCCACTTGGAAAACATGAGACTCCACAAATTGGAGCAACTAGAAATACACACACTCTGTGAGAGCAGAGGTTCATATCTGCTGTGCTAACCCTCCTCAGTAATACTTAGACTAGTGCTTCATGTATAATAAATGCTCAGTAACTATTTGTTAGAAATGAACAAAGTTATGTAATGCAGTATTAGTAAACCTCACATATAGAAAGGGGCAAACAGAAAACAACACAGACAAATGAATTAATGACTCTAGGCCTTGACAACACAGGAATGAGGGCTACACATCAAGGTATACAGAGCATAAAAAAGACTCATCTCTCCCCGGTGACAACCAGTTCTTCTTGCCTCATCAAGAGGAACTACCTGACAAATAAGGGAGCTGCTCCAAAATGAGGATGTAATTAGAAGGATATTCTGCCTACATCAAGGAAATCATGTGTCCTCCTCCCAACTCCCCAGACTCCATATCGGAGTATTATACAATAGACAGGTTAAATGACTGTCATAGTTTTCAAGTTTAGGAGCTAGACCTGCTATATTAAAAGGTATGAAATATATAGTGTCTCACAAAGCCTCTGCCTCTTGTCATGCAGGTGTCTGCCTTGTTCATGGGTTTCCATGAAACCTTTGTTCCATGTGTATGCAACCAATATGTCTATTCTAAGCCTACATTTCCTATTTTTATTCACAAGTATCAGTCATGTTAGGGGTGAGCCCATTCTTATGTTCTTTATTTTAAACCCAT